GTTTGTTAATCAAGAAGTTTTAAGAAAAACATTATAAAAATATTAGTCTTGGTGAATAGAAAAGAGAACCAGCGCCGAGAATCATCGGGAGAAGTCGAAGAAAGGATTCACCGGTGAGCTCCTTTTGTCCTTTCTACCTATTCACTCCAATACTTATATCGTAATATACTGTAAATGTTTAAATTTAATTGTAATTTTTAACATTCTTCCTAAAAAGCGATGATTTAATTAAACGAGAATAAAGTGCAAGCTGATTGTGGCGTGCAAATTAATGATTTTAATGTTTGCTGGTGTGTAACTTTATAGAGCAGTGGAATGAAGTTGCAATGCAAATATTTAAATATTTAATAGTTTATTAAATCCCTATAATTATTTACTTTGCCCTAAAATCAAATAATAAGATAGAAGTTTAGTAAAAGAGTGTAGTAAAAACGCAGTTTAGTTTTATGTCAGTTCTTCCCAACTGAAGTAGTTAGTATTACAAATGTTTGTATCGTGGCAGGAATTGAAGCCGCGATCTTCGTAAGTAAAGCGTTGTGTTTTTCGAACTATTCTAAGATTTACCGCAGCTGGCTTTTACAGCTTCACTAAACAGTAGGGCAGTGCAGATGACACTCCAAACCAGCGGTCACTCTAACTTATGGAGTAGTTGAAAGCTAACTTCTGCATAACGGATACTTTAGTCTGAGGGTACCGCTAGGGGTTCGAACCTCGGCTCAGGTCGTCGTAATTTCAATCCTCGTTTGAATTAGATTAGAATCGATCGTATCGTAAACGGACGATATGGGTAATGATAAAAATTTTGATGGTTAAAGGACGCAATCCGTCTCCTATATGAATATCTGATATATAAAATTCTCGTGTCACAGTTTTCGTTCCCATACTCCTCCGAAACGACTTAACCGATTCTCATGAAATTTTGTGAGCGTATTGAGTAGGTCCGAGAATCGGGCAACATCTATTTTTCATCCCCCTAAATGTTAGGGGTAGTCCACACCCAATTTTTTTTTTTTTAAGGCAAAACAACGTTTGCCGGGACGGTTAGTAATAATATAATATGAATATAACAGTAAATAGTAAAGGATTATGGCAGCTCATTTAGAAAGAATAAGACCTGAGTTTCTTGTCAGTAACTTTTAGCTATAAACCACTCCGAACTGATGGTAGATTTGACATAACATAAGAGTCTGTAATAGACCTACATAAATAAATATATTTTATTTGATATACAATCAACTACATTTGTAGAAAGTGTATAATATGAGTGTGGATGGATGTAAAGGGGGACGCCCTAAGAAAAGATGGATGGATTGTGTGAAAGATGATATGAATAAAAGAAGAATATGTTCAGATATGACGACCGATAGAGAGCAGTGGAAGAGAATGACATACTGTGCCGACCACAAATAATGGGATAAAGGCAAGGCAATGATGATACAATCAACTACATTTATTATTTGCACACATTTCTAAATCTCCAATTAAAAATGTTAATGAAACATGATAACGAATAAAAAACCATAATACAAATGTGGTTTGTTATCTTTTCAATTGAATTCACGGAATGCTTTTAGCGTATAAATTAAAGGAGCTCGTGCAATTTTTAAAGGCTTCATTTGCATGGGTACGCCTGTGACTACGAACATTGCTATTAGAGCGGGCGCCGGCCAGCCGGGCCCGGATAAATTCGCCTGTCCTAAACTTAATGAGAGTCGCAGGAACAAGCGACTGTGGGTTAGTATCCTATGCAGATGTAAGCCCACCACGAGTAATTGTACTATTTTTGATTGGAAATTAACTATTATTATCTGGCAACCATTTTGTTTTTATATGGCAGCCATTTTGTTTTTATATGGCAGCCATTTTGTTTCTATATGGCAACATTTTGTTTTTATATGGCAGCCATTTTGTTTCTATATGGCAACCATTTTGTTTTTAAATGGCAGTCATTTTATTTCTATATGGCAGCCATTTTGATCGTCACTACCTTGTGATGTTCTGTTTAATTATGATTAAACGGTCATATGAAAAAAAAAATCGAATTATATCTAAATATCTTCATTCATATAGATCTATACTTCTGATCTTTTTTGTATCATGTTATATGTGCAATTTTCATGAATAACAACAGAACGAAGGTAAAAAAAAAACATAAATATCATTTACACATTACATATGTGCATATGAATAAAGTCTTTATAAATAAACTAGAAGTATCTGTTTGTAATTTTAAATTGACAACTTTTCATTAAATACTGATCGTATAAAGATCATAACTTTTATTTAAAAAAATCTTGTCTGTCTCTATATTCTTACTAATCAATAAAACAACTAGATCAATTTTTAATCGCAGATACCTAATAGAGTAATGAAGCTACTTTTGTTTTAGAAGTTTTATATATTTTAATTAAAAGAAGTCAAACTTCACCCCGACAAAGTTGCAGGTAACACCTAGTTATAAATACAACGAGAATACTTAAAATTTGTCCAGTCAGAACTCTATATTATACGTTATATATTACGTTTGCGTGGCAGAAACGAAAAAAAATATTCCTAAAACCTAATTCGGGCACTCCCACTAGATTCATTTATAAATCTAAACCATTTACAAACCTATTCAAACAAACACATTTTTATCAATAAACTAAGAAACTTCATATAAAGATAATGGTAATAGACCTAAGTAATAATTATGTCAAGGGCGCCGCCCTTGCCCTCCGCCCTACAGCCGTCGCATCGAACCGCCCGCCCGCGCCATTTCTGTTTGCTCGGCTCCCAGAGGTCGGAGCGCGATATTAAACAGCTTATAATCTTCTTCAAGAATTCGGCTATTGAAATAAAAAAGAAATAAAATCTAATCAGTTCCACAAAACAGTTAACTCGTTCATTTCAAGAACAATTCAAATATGTATTCATATATATATATATCTGTAGGTATGTAATATTTACATGTATATAATGCCATTATTATTACTATAAACTATTACTATTCCATTCTCGAGCCACCTACCACATTTTTTGTCTATCACAAAATTCTTCTAGGCAACTTTTAGATAGACTAAAAGTTGCCTAGAAGAGTTTGCATAAGAGATAAGACCGCTTTTGTAGCCAATTTTGCTTATGCAATCTCTCTTTCTGAGAAATTGCGTAAAGATATGCAATTTCTCAGAAAAACAAATCTGTTAATTTTAATTCCTGTAATATATCTAGTCCAATAAAGACTAATGTTGTTGTTGTTTGGAAAGTAACTTCGTTTTTTCCTAACTTAGGATTTAATTGTATTTTTTGCACTCAACTTCACCCTTAAGCCGTATAATTTTTATATGACTTGAGAGCTCATATAGCAAGCTTGTGTGTGAAAAATTACAATTAATTTTACGCAGTAGTTTTTGGTTGGTGCCCTTTTGAATATGGAGACCCATAAGCAGCATTTTCGACATATCTTCTTGTTTTACTACAGAAAGGGCAAAAATGCTGTTCAAGCCAGAAGGAAATTGACCCACGTGTGTGGAGAAGGTGTGTGAACAGAACGCCAGTTCCAGAACTGGTTCGCTAAATTTCGATCCGGCAATTTTGATGTCGAAGATGCACCAACGGAAGGCCGGTTGAAGCTGATAAAGGCACTGGTTGATGCACAACCCGTGAGATGAGATTGAGGTTAAATTGATCAAATTTAACAATTTATGATTATTTGAAAGGCTTGGAATGTTATAAGTGTTGTTATTCGCCGGTTCATAATATGAGAATAATTAACAACTTTATATGTAGTCATTTAAAAAAGAACATAATCAATACACATAACCGTCTTATTACGTAAGTTCTTTATCAGACAAATATTTCAAAGGATATTCAAATATATTTCTCCATTTCAAAGTTACACCCAAGTCCAGAGTCCAGATCCTTTAAATGCATTTAAATTACAGTCTCCAGTGGAACTAGACAAGTTGTAATTGGACGAGAAGTTTCCCGAACAGATGTTTGACGAGCACACAACTTGAGATTTTAAGATTATATTATTAATTTTATCAACTGAGTGTTCTTTATCGTATTGGACGTTTTAATGTAAATTTATAATTTAATAAGACAATAGGAGATACGAAGTAATGGTTATATAAATAAATAAGAATGAAGTTAGTTAGTCTGTTTGTAATTTCTAATTAAGAGCTTTTCACTAAATGCATTTGAAAGTATTGCTAATTTCTAATATGGCTGGACCGATTTTGACGACATTTTCACTCACAGATAGCTTATGTTATAAAGAGTAACTTGGGTAAATTTTATTTATATTTTAATTTAAAAAACAGTTAACTTCCATGCGTAATAAAAAAAGGTAATTTCGTCACAAGTAATAGCTAGCAGACGATAAGGTCGCGACTACAATTCTGGTTACAAATTTTGTGTGTTAATAGATAAAATATAAATTTCTGATGGTCACGGGTTCGAGTCCTCGCACGGTATAAACATTTGTACTACTAAATATCATTATAGTAAACATATGTAAATTTTTTTTTAATATATAATGATATGTGGTATTTTTCAAGTATTAATATAAAAAAAAATTCTACACTCCATTCCTACTTCGGTATAGATATACTTTACTTATCCCAAATTTCATATACCTACCCGTCTGCGTTATTATCTCAAAGTTTTTGCTTATCGTATACATTTTTTCTTCACTCTTACACTATACACCTATATAATGTAACTGTCGATAATTTTATATACAAGTGTTATTTTCTTAAAGTTTTTGCTTCACGTATAAATATGAAATAAATTAGTTTGAGGTTTAATCTACATATAAATAACCCTTATACAACTGTACAGCTAGTATATAAACAAACTCACTTAAAATACACCTCAATATGGAAGAGGACACTGACTTCTGAACCACAGGTATTTTCTATATTTTCTATACCTACCTCAGAAAGCAGGGACTTCATAAATTATTTATAAAAGGTTGTGAAAAAAAAAAAAAAAAAGAAAAAAAATATATCACTTACCTAGTTTATCCTGCAGAACGGTCTTGGTGTCACAGTGGACAAGACATGCTATGAGGATGAGGACCACGTGGAGCGCCATGCTGCCTCTGGCGGGGGGCGATCAGGTGAGCGGGGCGGGGAGGGGCGCCCGGCCACTCGAGCTTAGCCGACGCATACCTCACAACTGCAAACAAAAGACAACAAGTTCAAATACCATTTTAATATATTACTACTGCCCGCGACTTCTTCCGCGTGGGATAGATAACGATGAATTTCTATAGCAACTTTCATCCCTATTTTATTTCACCCCTTAAAGGTATTTTTTTACAGGCTTTGAATGTTTTATTTATTTATTTCTAATCAAGTTTCTGGCTTTAAAAATGACGATATTTTCATATAACCTATAAACTCCCCTTTCAATCCCTTACAACCCTTTTTCACATTAAAAAGTAGCCTATGTCCTTTCTCAGGGTCTATACTATCTATGTAAATGAATTTAATGAAATCTAGATGTAGATAGATCCCGAAGACGGATATAGGCTATCTTCTATTATATTCTATTTTATATTAACACCCTGACTGATACAAACAATCATACTATCTATACATATAAATAAAATTGGAGTGTCTGTTTGTAATATTGAAATAACCGTTTTTTACTACATGCATATGAAAATAAATACGGAACATACACCAAAGAACCACTTTTTAAAATTTTTGTCTGTCTGCTTGTCGGTCTGTTTGTTCCGGCTAATCTCTGAAACGGCTAAACCGATTTTAACGGGATTTTTTGTGGCAGGTAGCTTATGTAATAGGGAGTAACTTAGGCTACTTTTATTTTAGAAAAATAAAGTTAAATTCTACGCGGACGAAGTCGCGGGTACAGCTAGTCATGAATAAAAGTACTTATACCGTGCGAGGAATCGAACCCGCGACTATCAGAAGTAAAGCGGCGTACTAAACCATTATACCAACGTCGCCGGCGAGCCTTGACTAGTTGTACGGCTCTAACATAAGCTACTTATGAAATGTAATTTCTTTTCAGTGTCTCGAGAGGCTTTTCCTAGTACTCGGTTTCGAATATAAGCTTTAATATACGTACATACATAGTGCTTCTAACAGAATAGTCTGAACATATTACTATATCAATATAATAAATAAATGCTAGAAGAAGTAGACCTCAATTATGCGATGTGTAACAAAAAAATATATTAATTATTCTAGAATAACCTTTATCATTATTTCAATCCCAATTTAATTATAATAATATATAATTCAATTGGCATATGAACTGTAATTAAAAAAAAATACTCGCCACTTTATAAAATCAATAATATAAAAAAGCTAATAACAGTACATAATCATCAAATAAACTCTCAAAACAGGCAATTTTTTTTTATAAATACATACATAAACAATCATACTCATGAATAAAAATGTTTGCACCGTGCGAGGAATCGAATCCTCGACAGTCGTAAGTAAAGCAGTGCTGAACCGCTAGCCCAAACTCTAAAATATTACATTAATAAAATAAGAGATCGTAAAATGCAACTCAGACTCGCCGTAGCAAGATACACGATCAAATCTAATAGAAATACAAAGTTACAGCATCACATGTAACTAAAACAAGCGCACCATGAATAAACTATGAAGTCAAAATGAAATTTTTACAAATCGCAGTGCGCGGCTGCCAAGTGCCCCTTGGCCGGTGCGAAATCCAAAAAGAAATTAACCCGCCCGCTGCCATCCTTCTGACACGGTCACACGGCAGATTTTATTACCTCCATGAATAAATTTCAACACCGGGACACTAGCACCTCGTAAATTATAACGCTTTAAACCTAACCCGATTTACTGCCGCGCCAACTCTCAATATGATAAACAGGGTCTATACAGAACGTGCAATGGTTGTTATATTAAATGAAATCAACGGAATATCAAATGTTGCGAGATACAAGTTTATTGTGTCCACGAGTCGTTTTATGGTCTTCCGTATCTAACAGTGACTGTGGTGTTTAACGATGTGTAGTTTATGTTTATTAAAAACTTTCAGTATAGGACATAAGTTATCGCTCGTACTTTGTGTTATTAGGTACATTATGGGATATAATAGCATTGTAAAGAGTTCCCTTGGCATAATGGTCAATCATTATTATATTCTTTATTGCACTTTTAAATATAGTTCTAAACTTAAACATATACAAAGTGAGCAAAGGTGGACTTATCTCTAAGAGAGATCTCTACCAGTCAACCCAACAATGTGGCATAGCTAGTAGTGAGTAGGTAACATCTGTGCAATTAACACTATTATGTTGAAATGTCTAAAAGTTGAGAAAAATAAAACATTTAAAATTCAACAAATTAAATAAAGTTCTAATTATATTATAATTATAAAAAGATATACAATAATAAATAAAATAAACATTAATAAAAGTTATATATATATACATACATATACAATTACTATAGATATATTTATTACACAAAATACAAATAATAAAATACATGATGAAACTAATCATACTAAGGTCGATAAATAGTGTGATTTCAAACTTTTCTTAAAACAACCAATTGATGGATTTTCCTGTATCTGTACTGGTAGTTTGTTCCGTAACCGAGCAGCGCGAAATGAAAAGGAATTTCCTAAGAATTGTGACTTGCCAAGTGGAAGTTTTAACATTTATATAAGGTCAAACTTGACGAGAATTTAACTCAGTCTAATATACATCATTACATGGTATAAAATATAGTCACTGTCACTGACTCTCCTTACGTATTCTTAAATCTTTAAAATTAGGCAACGGATATTGTTGCGGTTTTTTTAGAGTTCAAATTCAAAATTCAATATTCTTCATTTAGGTAACACAATTTTACAATTACATTCTACAGTCGTTGAAGACTCCTTTCCTTTTAAGCATAAAAACGCCTGTGCCAGGACGCTCCGCTCTTCCATAGCTTATATCAAACATTTGTAAAATGTTTCTAGTTTATTATACTATAATTATATAATTCAATTTTAAAATACATACATTATAGGAATATATATACATATATGTGTATGTGTAGTCTAGTTGTTCGTAGTTACATTGTAATCGTTACTTCAATTGACTTTATGTATTGAAGCTATCAAAACCATTGATAGTGCCTACAATTTACATACCATACCATTAGGTATAGGTACTTTTAAACTCCACGTTCAGCCTGTAATAAAACCATATACTTATTGTACAACTCGGTTAACACAACTATAGGTAAGCCAAGATTTAAAAATGAAAGGTATAACGTTAGTAAAGTGCACTATGGATCCAAAATGTGTATCTTGATTTGTAGATCATTTACCTCATAATATGTACCATTTTAGTACTTACTTTATTGTGAAACTATCTCATAGTTTTATTACCTTACAACAGTGTTTCCCAAAGTGGGGCCCACGCTCCACGGAGGGGCAATTTGATTGTTAAGGGGGGCCATTCGAAAATGGACTCTCTATTAAAATTATATAGAATGTGAATTTAAATTATTCATTATATATTTTATAAAGTTTATTAACAATTAATTTTTCTTCCTAAAACCTATTATATAAGTTTCATAAGTGAACAATTCAATTTTTTAAATTATAAATTACTAGCTTTACCCTCGGTTTTACTCGCATGAAATTTAAGCTATATCACTGTAAAGTTTCAAAAAAATCCGTTCAGTAGTTTCTGCGTGAAAGAGTAACAAACATCCATCGAAACTTTCTCATTTATAATATTAATAAGACGTAGATTACACAGAAGATGGGGGAGGAGAGAAGGAAGAGAGGAGGAGAGAAATAAGAATTTTAGAAAAGCAAAGATGGCTCTATAATCGTTAGGATACACAGCCTTACAATGTTTCAAAATACACTGTATCTAAAGTGGGTATCAGTAGTCTTATTCCAAAATGCATTTAGCATCGAAATAAGCAATTCCAGCATTTGGGATACCACAAAAGTAACACTAACTGGCATAACTGGTATTTGCATAAAGACGATAAATCTCAAGTTACAAAACGTTAATCCTGAACTGGTTTTAGGTAAAGATTCAGTTACATTTCACTTCTGTTTGTGCAAAGTCAAAATCGTATATGAAATTGCTATAGAAAAATTTTGTGGCGAACAAAAAAAAAATCTAAATATCTTTATTCGTATAGGTCTATTACAGACTTATGATATGTGAAATCTAACGTCAGTTCGGAATGATTTCGAGATGAGCAGATCAAAAACTCAGCTGGTATTTTCAAATAAATATTGTACATGTTTTTAAAATTTGGGAGAATAGATTGTCCTCCAGCATATGCTATTTCAAAAGCAAATAATCAGTGTTTGTAACGCAAACAGACCAGTCCCCACAAGCAGTACCTGTTCACGAGTATCACGGATGAGCCAGCCATCATTGATATCAACCATATTGACCTGGCCCACCCATTAAAATAAGTAAATTATTACGTTATATTAAATAGAAACATGTTTTTTACAGTATAAGTAAATTTTTCAATTTTTAAAAAGAAGTTATATAATATTCTCTTGAATCATCAAAATGAGTTATAACTGTATTGCATTGTGTTAGCATTGTATTTAGCTATGTTTAGCATCAGTGCGATATTATATATTTATTACATACTATGTTTTTATACATGTAATATTACTATATATATATTTAGTTTTCATACTGCTTTCTTGATATATGATAGCGTAGCGGCTTTTGTATTGATTGCCGCAAGCATCCTCATGTAAAGTGCGAATACTGTAACTACCATATAGTAATTTTTGTAGCAGTGACGTGGTCGAGTGGAATGAGTAGTCATGCTCACTAAAATGTCCAGACATGTGGCGGCGTGGTGGGCCGGGTCATTGGGCTCCCTAAAATATTTTAGGTTGAGTGCAGTGATGGCTGGCTCATCCGTCATACTCGTGAACGAGTTCTGCTCTAGGGACTGGTCTGCTCTTATCACTACGACTGATTTAATCTTATTGTATATTTATATTTGACCCAAAAAATTTGTGCTGGTTGGTAGTTTGCATTCACACGTTTCGATTTGTAAATGTAAACTTACAAGTATTATTTAAAAGAGCAACACACAAGTTTCGGTCTGGGTATTTTCTATGTATAATATGTATGTATTTACAAAAAAAATATATCTATGTATATGTATCAGTTATCT